CAAAGTTTGTAAAAACCTGCTGTTGTCAGTGGAAATCCATGTGGTTGTACCTCTCAAAAAAGTACTTTTTGGCTCATACTGGATGCCTTAAGTCTACATTAATTTGTCCAACCCTGCGTTAAACCCTGTGTAAACCATACTTGGCAGTAAACAGCCTGAATGAAACCTGTCATAAGAGAAATTGGGAGGCTTCCATTGCTGACCTCCTACTGAACACGCTGTTTTTCTGACTACTAGCTACTATACTTTGAGTCACTGACTTGGATGGCATACAGATTAGGAAGTCAGAGAAAGGTCAGAAGTCCTGATCAGCATGCTTGTTTCAGGTCAGTGACCCAATGTATGTATGAATCAAGAGGATCAGCATGGCAGCTAGGCAACTTGTAGTTTTAGGAGAGGTTAACAGTGGCTTTGTCCATCTTTCTCACATGACAGCTTCCCTTTAATAACACTGACTGTACCTTGTCTTATTTTTTTTGTGTCTACTATGGCAATCTATTTGCTTTGCCTGAGGCTAGAGCAGAAGTTGAAGTGACCCTTCCACTAGATCAGTAAAATTAAATTACATACACCTTGTAAAGGAAGAAGTTTAATACCTATTTCTGTCAGACAGTGAGCCAAATCTTCAGGCTTCTGAACAGCTATGTGTGCCGCTGGTATCCGATACATCTTGGGTTTGTTAGACACCTTGTCCCCTTCTGTGTTCTGTGGTTTCTCATGTGGGCTGCAACATCACTTTTATATCCTATAGTGATGTTGCTGAAGGAACCAGAATGCGTAGTGGGGAAAGCAGGTAACAGGTACACCTGGAAGAGTCAGATAATAGCAGCAACTATAACTCTGTAAGGGAGCAAAGATTTGACTCATCGCCCACCAGAAAGTATGTCATAAATATCTTTTTTTTACAGTTAATTCAGAACTATGATCTGGGGTGGCTGATTTTCACTGTCGGGCATGCACTTGGTGTGTGAAAACAGCCTCTGCAAGCAGCCTGTACAAATCAGTGACAGACTGACAGGCGCCACCTCTGTTCACAAATAACCGCTCATCCGTGGGGATTACATGTGATTAGGGACTCTGGCTGGCCCTGAATGCAAACAGCTTGCGTCCGGGGACAGCGTTTCTGACCACACACAAACTGGCTGCCGCTAATTTGTTTAGCCCCCTATGAACGCAGTACCTTATCCACCCCACATCGCCTATTTGAATGAGCCCTTCCAGGGTGCATGTGATTTGATTTTATTGGATTGGATCTGATTCAGTGGGGGTGATTTACTAACCTTAACACACACACACACCAGGTGTGTGTGATTTTCACACAGCAAAACGTATTTATCAACCAAAAAGTCTCTAAAAGCATATTTCCACTAATGCCATATATGGAAAAATCATGCACATGATGCATATATAATGCTGCTTCACAGTTTAGACAAAAATGGTTAGCTCATGCATTTACATTCCTGCATTCATCAACGCAAGCAACACAACATAGAGCTAATTTACCCAACATCACCTTGGAATTCCTTCAGGGCTTTGCACAACACACCTGCTGGGTGTGTACACATTACAAAGGTGTTTAGATTCCACCCATAGATCATGCTGGGAGGGAACACACTGCAGAGGTGTATACACGTTCGTGGTGTGTTTATAAGGTTAGTAAATCAACCCCATTAAGTTGCAATAGCTCCCTGTTGAATGAACCCTTATGTATGCCTATTAACGCGCATTCACACAATGGGGTTGATTTACTAACCTTATAAAAACACACCACGAACATGTATGCACCTCTGCAGTGTGTTCCCTCCCAGCATGATCTATGGGTGGAATCTAAACACCTTTGTAGTGTGTACACACCCAGCAGGTGTGTTGTGCAAAGCCCTGCATGAATTTGCAAGGTGATCTTGTGTAAATTAGCTCTATGTTGAGTTGCTTGCGTTGATGAATGCAGGAATGTAAATGCATGAGCTAACCATTTTTGTCTAAACTGTGAAGCAGCATTATATATGCATCATGTGCATGACTTTTCCATATATGGCATTAGTGGAAATATGCTTTTAGAGTCTTTTTGGTTGATAAATACGTTTTGCTGTGTAAAAATCACACGCACCTAGTGCGTGCGTGTGTTTGGGTTAGTAAATCACCCCCAATGTGTCTAAAACATGCAGCGCTCTTACCTGCTAATGGCACCCAAACGCGGCCGGTAAAATACACGTTTTTGCCGGCACGTGAAATGCACACAGACACATGGTCAAAAAAAGAAGGGAAGCTTGCAGCTGAAAATGTAGCATGAGCTTCTTTGCCACGTTTGTCGCACATGCGGCAAAGGAATGGGCTGATACGTGGCAGTGGCGGCAAAAACGCACTATTGCAAAGTGTGAACGAGCCTAAGGCATTCTAAAGTGTCCTGTCGAGCAATATTATTACATGTGATACTATCATGTGTCATTTTCTCTTCTCCATGCATTCTGCTTGTACTTAAGAAGGGAGTAAAATGCATAACAACATATCCAGTGTGAACAAAGAGTTAAAATCACAAACCTTGTGTTATCATTCTCTATGATTATGAATGAGGTTGAATTTTTCCGCAGGTCAAGCTATCTGAATGTATTTACAATAACTTGCATACGTGAATGTTTTCTATCAGATGCAGTTTCTTTGTGATTTGAATGCAAGGTCTATTTATGAAAAAAATGAGCTAAAAGTTTCCCTATTTTTTCTCTTTTTCTGCAGAGAACTGAATGGTAACAATATCACACGTATCACAAAGAACGACTTCTCTGGCCTCAAGCAGCTGCGAGTCTTGTAAGAGTCTTCTTTTTCCTTTTGATACAGGAAATGTAATGCATACAAATGAATAAATACATACTATAGCACTTGAAAAGAGCACTTCTTTCTATGAAAAATCAATTTTGGGAAAGTAAATGTCATTAAACTGTAATTTCCAACACATGAGGATGATCATAGGCTAATCATGCATTAATAATAACAAGGAGGAAAGATGCAGGTCATTGTCACAGTCGCTGCAGTGCTGGAGCCACTGAAGCTTTACTCTGTGATTTAGGCGTTGCTGAATATTGGAAAATTCTCAGCAGAGATTTTACAGCCTTTTGGAAAATTTTGGAAAGCAGTGGTGAGCACTTCCAAGACATTTGCACTTGTGCTTATTAATGCTCGGCATGTAAACCCAAAACCAAAAATGTTATTAATTGCAGCTTTCCAGTTCCTAAAAGAGCTTAAAGGTGTTTTACCCCATAGTTCTCTTAAGGGTCATGTGAGGACATATACTAGCGTCTTCCCGTGACCCAAAGCTCAGTATATCACGAGCTACAGCTCGCGGTATACTGAGACCGCCACAGCCGGGACGGATCCCGACATTACTGTCCAGTTCCACCCAGTTGCGTGAGTGACAGCTGGCTCTGCCTATCTAGAGGCAGAGCCAGCTGTGCCCGCCCCTCCCTTGTATGTTCCTCCAGTCAGCGGTGGAGGATGGGAGAGGGGAGGGGGGAAACCCTGCAGGGAGCCGTGACTGACAGGCACCGCTCTCTGCAGGGATATGATCAAGAAGTGAGCGAGCGACGGTATACGTTCGCTCCCTTCCCGATCTATTGAGACGACGTGTGACAGTTTCATTGTCACACGTCGGCTCGAACTATGAGGATGAGGGATTTTCACTCACCTCATAGTTCTCCTTTAAATATGGTGAGTTCATTCATTTTTTTCCCTTTTATTTTCTGAAAACCTGATAATTCTGCAAATAACTCACTTCCTTTCCCTGGGTGGCTACACTCACTCCTCTACTCTATCAATGGAGGCAGCCATGGGTGTCACACAGGCTGGAATTCGACATGCCTGCCTTTGTTCATTTCCATTACATGGGGATTATTGGGGTAAGTAGGTTACACAGGAACGATAACATTGTTTTTGATACCAGTTCATTGTAGAGTAAGTGACAAGGACACTGCATTTCTGGTAAGATCAATGGGTAGTAGCTGTTATTGCTAAAAATTTTCTTGGGCTGGGTAAAAGAAAACTAATGCAGCCGGCTTCTCCAAGGACTGGTAAGCTGCAATAGAATACATATTTATTCTTGGGTTTAGTTATGCTTTAATTCGTACTTCATTGCTATAAATGGTGGATTGGTTACATTCCTTATAAACATTGGACGGTGTATTGGCAAGCTAACAAATGTCCATTTGTTGTTTTATTGTTTATAACATGTGTCATCATGAAGTCAAATTATCCTCTCTGGGTTTATAGACACATTAATAATTGTAGTTATCTCATCAGTCTAAAGGTTTCTTTGATTTATGTAGTTTTGAAGTTGCATGTAATGAGAATACTGTAATTCCATTTTGGATGGGTACCAGTAGTTTGATTCCACTGCTATCTTCTTGTATGGTACATTCCATTTCAGAAGTTCTATCCCCAGCCTCTTCTACAAGGCCATAATGAAGTGATGACATCATAATTGGAGCAGGATACCATCATATGACTAAACACATACAGCTTCTCATATACTTTACACAACTTAACATAATGTTCCCTGGTCAATTTTCAAAATTGCTGCCACATGATGATTTCACAACAGGATGCATTTGCATGACTTCCATACAGAACATTGCTTTATTTAACTATGCCATTTCATTTGTCACTGATCAGAAACTATATAATAATTAGTATTACCTGGTAATGATTAATTTTCCTGTTCAAACGCCAAGTGTCTTGTTAAAGTGTATCTAAAGCCTAAACTTTTTTTTAGATTTTTGTACAGTGGTGCAGGGTTTTAACTCCTGTCTGTGTCACCATTTGGAAGATTTACAGGGTTATTCATAAAAGGGTGAAAAGTTTGGAGAATGCAGGAGAAGTGAACAATCCAAAAAATCTCCAATTCAGGTAACTTTCCAGTTCAGCGATGTTGTCCAGATTGTTCACTTCTCCTGCCTTCTCCAAACTCTTCACTCTTTTGTGAATAACCCTGTTTGTCTCCCTACTTGCCTTGTTTATCACTGTTACTGGGACTGAAATTTAAGGAAAAATCTAAAAGTTTGAGTTGTCACCAGAACAGGAATAGACAGGCAATTTTTAGTATGGACACTTGTCAGCTGTCTAAGAGCAAAAATCTCTCTTTTTAGGGGAGATTTCCTCACATATCCTGTTTTGTCTACAGGAGGAAGTAAAGGGAAATCTCCTCAATAGAGTGCAGATGGCAAAAGAAAGTGTTGTTGTCTTCTCTAAAGTATACCAGTACTCCCTTCTTGCCATTGCAATTTGTTACCAAAATGTTACTGCAATCACCCATTGGAAGGTTATTTAGAATATATGCAGGGACTAAACCACCTAGTTAGTCCTGCAGCTTGCAAAAAGTATATGCACATACTGACTTCACATAGGAAACTTGACTAATGACCCCCCTCTTCCACACCTCATGTTTGGTCAATGAGACTGCCCATTACATTGATGAACTGTTATGATTTGCCCAATGGGGCTGGGCCAAGCAGCAATTTCCTAACTGGAGTTGCTATTTGGATATTAAGGCCCCTTTCACACTGCCCAATCAGGAGGGGATCTGTGCACCGGTGTGACAACCGTGTCCATTCAGTAAATTAAATTACTTGACCTATGTTGGTCTATGGGGAATCAAAATATAAAAAGACTTGTGTCTGTTTACATCAGACATCCCCCGATCCGGCATGATCATGTCCAGCGACAAAAAACTCTCTTCTGTTTGTTTCTCCTGACCTGGCAAGAGATAGAGGTAACCAAATGTAAATGGACACCCTTCTGTTTACATCGGCTGCCTATAGACTAACATTGACAGGCGGACCTGACCACAGAGCTCTTGTGAGGGGGCGGTTAATCTCTCTTGGGTTTAGGTTCTGGAAATGAACTGAGGATATATGCAGACGCCATTTGATGCATACACTGACATCCCTATGCTGCTTCAGAGCAGCAGAGGCAAGTGCACATCCAATTAAATTTAAATTGGGGTAATGCAATGAGGTCAGTTTTTATGGACATATTGCTTAGTGGAGCTTCTCCTTAACAGGAAATTGTACACATTTCCTTCTGATAGACTAGATGTCTGTTTTACATTTGCATGCTCAGAACAATAGTCTGGAAATGAATATGTGCTTATATAAATATCTTGAAATTCCCAGTAGATATAATAGCTGTCAGCCTTCTTGGAATTCCTTTTTTCCCCCCAAACCCCCCATGAAGCAGAACATTTTACTTCTCCTATATTTAAATAGAACACACACACATTCTGAAAATTATTCTATTAAACTCCAACCAAAGATGGTAAATGACAACTCAGATCATTATATAACACGGCGTTCGAGAACAATAGCTAATGATTCAGTCATTTGCCACAGTGTGAACAGTTTTATATTTATATTACTGTGTTAATAGTTCCTTGTAAGGAGTGTTTGAAAGTTCTAGCTACAAATCGTTTGGTTACCTACTCATAAGTCTAATGAATGGATCTGTGGAGTCACCTACTTGCTTTAAAGAACCCCAGGAACTTAAAAAACGTACCCTTGCAGTGTGGCTACCCTTCACTGCAAGGGTTAAGTACTTGTTTTGTCTAGGAGAGTCAGATAAAGCAGATATACTGGGCTGCTAGACCAGTCTCTGCAGCCTATTCCCCCCTGGGCTCCAGTGATCTGAGGACTGCTGATGTTATTATGTCGTATGCAGGTCCATTGACTGCATTAGACGTGAGAATGCCGAGAGACATTCCACCGCTGTAGCAGAGGGCAGGGGCGTCCCGAGGCCGTGTGTCACCCAGAGCAGAGACCTGGTGAAACCCCGCCGTGACGTCATTGCACATGACGTTACCACGGGCATGCGCGATGACGTCATCGCGCATGCCTAGTCATCTAATTGACTCCTGCCGGTGGCCATCTTGGTGATGGATGACGGCAGGGAGAGGAGGTGACGTTCACTGGCGGGATGAGGTATGCCACCGGGTCCTCTCCTCTCTCCTGACACTGTCGGGCTCTCGGTCCATGCAGTGCGGGAGTAGTCCCACTGCAAGGGTATGTTTTTCCAGTTCCTGGAGTTCTTCTTAAAGTAACTTCATTTCAGACAGCTGCTGTACACAAATTACATGTTACAATACCATTGATACGGTAGAAAGAGACTGAGAAGATTATTTGAACAGAAGATAATATAACAAAAACATACAGCTGACTCCTAGTCCAGTAATTATTATTATACAGGATTCATATAGAGCCAATAGTTTGCACAGCGCTGTACAATATATAGAGGAGAACTTTCGGCTGTCATTGTTTTGCTTCCTTTGACCAACAAAGGCAGCTTCTATAGAGCAAGAGGTTTTAAAGAAAAGTTACCAAAAAATGTCAAACATTTCAATTTCTGCATTATGGGCAAATCCAAATATACGTAGCTCTGAATGTTGTCAATGGCTCTTTCACACAATGTATAAAGCAGCTTTTTGTTTTAAGTATAGTAGTCCTTCCAGCCATTGCAGTCTTCGCATTCCCATGCTGGTTATCATCCACTGACTGACTTTAGCCCCATGACCTGGGCTGCAAACACATTTTTTAGAACATCAGTGTAAATTGTTTTAAAGGAAACCTATCCAGAAAGAAATACCAAGGCTTCCATTGCTGGCCTCCTTTTGTAAATGCTAATTGCCTGGCTTTCTCTGTCTTCAGAGATTATTAGGTAGAATATCAGGTATGTAGAAAGGGAATTCAGCAATCCTGACCAGTGTACCTGTTGCGGGTTAGTGATTCAGAAAGGACTGAGACCATATACAGCCAAGCAAGCGACATTTTCAGAAGACCGTCAGCAATGACGGATTTTCTTTTTGTTACCAAACAAAGGTGGAGGCTATACAGATCTGGTGCTGTGAGGCTATTCCTCTTCTCTTTACTGTTCTTCTGCAGTCAGAATGTTTTATTTGTATACATTATTTTCTTACAGTAGTAAGAACAGTTTGGCAGAGGGTAGCTCAGGGGCGTCCCGAGGCTGGGAGTCACCCGGATCGGAGACCAGGTGACACCCAGCCGTGACGCCATCGCACATGTGCATGATGTCACCACGCGCGTGCGCGATGATGTCATCTAATTGACGCCTGTCGGTGGCCATCTTTGTGATGGACGCTGGCAGAGAGAGGAGGGGACGTTCACCCGGCGGGATGAGGTATGCCGCCAGGTCCCCTCCTCTCTCCTGACACTGTCGAGCTCTCGGTCCATTACCGAGTGCCCGACTTTTTAGAGGGGGTGACACCAAAATGACTTTCAGTCATTTTGGTGTCACCCCTCCAATAGTGTCACCCGGGTGTGGGCCGCACCCCGTGCACCCCCCTTGTGAGACCACTGGGGTAGCTAGAGAAATATCTGAGGAACGCTGCGGCTTTATTTTCCACTTAATCGTTTTTGAGTGGAGGTCTGTAAAGTAAACCTTTCCTTTCAAAGGGTTAATACTGGCATATATAAGTGGGCACCTAAAGGCTGCACATGCCCCAGGTGGTGCATGGCAGAGTTGGAACAGGTGTTTTATGTTTTCATGCATTTTTGCGTATTTAGCTGCAATGTTCGAAACTTATCTAAACTCCAAAACAAAAATGTATTTTAGATAGATATGGTGGCTGCATCAGTTTTCTTTTCTCAGGCTTTTTGCTTGTTAATTTTTACCTGGTGGTCCTGCCTGTAACACACTTCTTGTCTTAGGGTTACAATGCTCACTTCCTGTATGAAGATGCAGTGTTGTCACCCGAAGATAGGAAGTGTGTTTCCCCTCACCTCCCTAAGGGCCCATTCACACCACATCCAGATCATCTCCAGACCAGACCAGATTGTTTCGGGACCCAAAATGCATCCTAATGTATCCCTATTCTACTTATGGCCCCTGTTCACACCAGCGCAGTCTGTTCCAGACCAGACCAGAAAAATACTGCATGTCTCATTTTGTCTGGTCTGGAATGTACTGAAACTGCGGGCAGGTTCACACCATTTTTCGGACCAGATCTGGACAAGATCTAGTCCAGGAAATGATGTGAACCTGTCCTAAAATAAAGGGGAGAGGACCTGTAGTCCACAGAGATAATTGGGAACAATGTAACTGATAGCAGTGCAGCAGAGGCAGCAGAGGCAGAAAGCAGAGGAAGTTATCAGCTCACAAGATTTCTAGCAGGATCAACAGGTAATCCTTTTTACTTATCAAGCAGAGGTTACAAGTGGCTACCATTGGCATATTTAGCAGGCCAAAATGGAACACATTGCTGGGGTTTACATACATGTTATGTTTTACACGAATGTTTAAATGAATCTGAGTTATAAAATTATTCATGCACACATTTCCGCCTCTTTTTTTCCCCAACATCTCGGATTGTGAAATTAAAGAAAAACAAATGCAGATTCACAGTCTTTGGTAACAAATTGACTCCAGACAGTAATGAATATGCCAAGTGCTGTAGTCCAGATTGTAAACTCACACGAGCATGGCCCTTCTAATTCTCCTGTATTGAATTGTATTGTAACTGTACCGTCTCCCTTTATTTCCTAACGCACAGGGCGCAAACTGTTCTATATAAATCCTGTATTATGATGATAATAATAATGATAATAATACTATTTAAAGGAAAACTACCTTTAGTAGTTTCTCAGTCACTGACCTGGAATAAGCAGGCAGCAAGTGAAGTGTAAACTCTTGATCTGCATATTTTCTTCCATCTGCATCCAAACAGTATAGATTTCAGTGGTTCACTTTGACAGCCAGGAAACCAGCATGTTTAGAGGGAGAGGTCATCGATGACATATTATATCATTACAGGTTTCCTTTAAAGTGTATGTTGTTGCAGCAAGACTCACAGGTGCATTCTATTTTGTTTCCCAGGCAGCTGATGGAGAATCAGATTATCAACGTGGAGCGTGGAGCTTTTGATGACATGAAGGAACTGGAGAGGCTGTGAGTGTTCATACTTCATTTTCCTGCTCCTCATATTAGTGAATTACCTAGAGACAGTTGGCTCATTCTACACCACTACCAATTACTATTAAGATTTGTTCTCTGTATATACTGTATTTTTCCGTGTATAAGACTATACTTTTTCTTAAAAATATTTACCTAAAAATGGAGGGGCGTCATATACACAGGGGGCCGAGAGGAGAACCACGGTTTCGAAACTGCCGATACCTCTGCAAACTAGCCTCACGAGTAAAACTTCCGATTGCAGAGACAAGCTAACAGGCTTCCTCCAATCATGAGCCTTATGTACCTGATGTCAGCTGATGCTGCGGAGAGCGTGTAGCCAGTGCTCTAGATGCAACAAGGAGCCCATAAAAATGTCAGAAAAAAAAAAAAATACCGGTACCAGTAAGCAGCTGTCTTACTCTGCAAAATTTAAACTGAATGTAATCAGTTACGCAAAAGAGCATGGAAAATATTGATTTCTGAATTTTGGGTAAGAAAAGTGGGGGACGTCCTATACATGGGGCATCTTATAGACGGAAAAATACGGTACCTTTAGACACATGGGTTCTAGACACTAACATAGTGATAGTGGACTCTTGTACCTCCTAGGAATACACTACTGTGTACATCAGAGCTAAACTGTAGAGGGAGAAACAAGAGGATAGATTGTATGTCATTCTATTCCATAATTCAACGAAATACAAAGGCAAATTGTGAGCAACGACTAGGTTATTTCCAAAGAATACAGACACTATAGTGCTCATCCTTCTGTAAAATTTAATAAGGAGTGAACCTTTACAGTATCTAACACCTCTATGGCAGGACCTTTTTTAATAGAAACTAACAACTAGCCTGAGTTCTGTCTTTTGTGCTCGCTCTCTGTAATAATGCTAACTAGGCTGACGAGCTTGCCAGTCAGCGCATTCAGTATGTCAAACATCAGGACTTGCTTACTAATCTTTATCACTACTGTCACCTATTCTTTCTTTGTGCTCCAGACCATGACAGAGGTATCTCCAGCGTTAAGTAACTCTACAGCTTTGAACAGTGGCTAGTGGGAAACCCGAGTCTCTAAATAACTAGAGGTCTTTTTTTCTGGGTGGTATTGCAAAAAAACTTAATAGAATATTTAATGGATAATGTACCATGACATCTAATAACCCTGAAACAATACATAAAGAATTTGTTACAAATTTAATAAAATGTAAGCAGTACTTTTTGCTTTCCTGTTTTAGTGTTCTAGAGTTCCAGCTACCAATCTCACCGAAAGCTGCCAATAAACAACAGCCATAAAGCAAGCTCTCAGGGGCAGGGCCCTCCTTACCATCTTGTCTTGAATTGTAGTGTGATTGTAACGTCTTCCTTATATTGTAAAGCGATGCGCAAACAGTTGGCGCTATATAAATCCTGTATTATAATAATAAAGCCTGCTGTTTGCTTAATCAGATTAGTATTACTGTCACCTTAAAGTACAACTGAAGACAAAACCTTTGCTTTTAGTTTTGGATAGAGTGGACAAGGATTAGAACACCTGTCAGGTTTTTATTGATGCCCTTGTTCCAGTTAGGGAGATTCACCCTCACTATTTGTCCTGGTGACCATTATCACTGAAAGTGAAAGAAAATCCCAAATTTGGTTGTCACCAGAACAGGAATCTTCCAATTAGGACACAGGTTCTGCTGCCAACCATGGATTTCCCTCACTTTGGAGGGATTTCCTCTCACATCTTAAGGTGCCCATACACCTTACGATTATTGGCCGATTTTCGTTTGCCCACTGCTGGATCCTTCCAGTGTTTGTTTTCTTTATAGGTCAAACAGAACAGGTTGTCTGCCTACGTTCCGGTGAGTCTAGCACCAGAGGCACCAATTAGATCATAATATGATCTTTCGCACACAAGTAATCAGTTCTATTGATCCAGCCATAGCTTTTATAGGTTTGAAAAGGCTCATGGTCAGGGATGGGGATGCACAGTATTATATACCTGGTGGAGGACCAATTGGCTGAGGAGGCCTACCTTGCGGCTCTAACACCCATGGGAGTGGGAATAGGGAGTGAGTAGACAGAGAGAAGCACGGGATGCCAAGGTGTCCAGACACGGTGCCTGGTAGAAGTCCAGCCACTGGGTCCCTGGATGGATGAGCAGGGCTAGTTGGCAGCTGAGATGTCAGCGAGGATTGCAGTGGAAACTGGAGCGATGTCAAACAAGCCAGGGGTCAAGCCAGACGGTCGGCACAGGTCAGCACGGTACAGAAGGAGCAGGCAGAGGTAGAATCCAGATAACAAGCAGAGGTCAGGGTCAGGCAGAAGTCAATCAAGGTCAGCAGCAATCCGAGTCAAGGCAACAGGCAAACAAATAGCAGGAACACAAGGCATAAGCCGAAGGACCATTAAGCACTGATCTATTGGACCAGCTGGTTTAAATAGGACCATCTATAAGAGAGAGCAACGTGTCACTTCCTGTGCGCCACTTTCCACTGTGAGCCCGTGCGCACTAGCGCACATTTTCCGGCAAGGCTGGAACCTGCGCATGCACAGTAGCGCGCAAACTTCCGGCTACAGCCTTACACACAGTCTTGAGGATTTTATTATAACAATAACAAATAGTTCCCTGGTGTATAATCTATATGTTATCTCATCGGAATAACGACTGGTATGCATCACTGTATAGTTCTGCCACTTTTTTTATTGTTTGAAAAGAGCATGGCATAAGCCAAAAGATTTTAACTGATTCTGACAAAGCAAACATGGTTAACATCTTCTAAGTAACGGAGACATTGTAATTGCAGTCTAAGTGCATATAAAATGAGAAGAGTCTATTGCCTGTAACATCTATATTCCCAACATTGACTCTGTTTATAAATTAAAGATGGCAGCGATATAAACAAGCAATTTAGACACCACCACGGTAAGAGAGGAGTAAAACCATCTTGAAAAGTAATCCTGAGTCCTTTTGGACCTCTGTGTTGTAGAATATAAACAACTAAACATCACTGCAGGTGTATGTAATGGATACAGCGGTGACTGTAACCAAGGGAGGAAGGATGTTTGTGCCCGAAGGGTTTACACTGTGTGTGAGTTGATATGAAATTTGGCTGACAGTTACATCTCAGCTCATGTTTTGATTATGCTACATATGCTTCCAGTGTAGTATAAAGTAGAATGTAATCTGTCTTTTTTTTGTTTTTACGTTTCGTTTTTCAGACGCCTCAACCGAAACCAGCTACACACACTGCCTGAACTTCTGTTCCAGAACAACCAAGCACTCTCCAGGCTGTGAGTACAAACGTACTGATTGATGCCCATAAGAAGTAACTCATGTATACTTAAAGCAATCTGTTCAGTTATTGCGCATCTGTTACATTTAAGTTGTTTGTGCGTAAAACATATCTCGGTGGTCTTCCGGGTAATAGTCAACAGGATTCGAAATTGCTGTGGTTGGCTACCCTGAGTGATTGCACGGTTCTGCTGTTATCAATGTTATGCTCTTCTTCCAAACTTGGAATGCGTCTATATTGTGGATCAAGGAGTATTACTATAATATACACCAAGGTGGAAGACAAATTCCAAAATGGTCTTTTATCACTATACACACATTATGAGACTAATTTCCCCTTACCTTTTACTTGTATGCTAGTAAGTAATCCGCAGTAACTCGAGTATGTACAGAGTTTTTACCACATGGGGTGACTGTCCTTAAATGTAATAGTTAGAGAGTCTAGGGTAGCCTGAAAATGAGGTTCCGTTGTCCAGACAAATCAAATGCCCATCAGTAGATTCTTTTTTTTCGTTGGCTAGATGTCAGCATGTGATCATTTTCTGATTCAGGATGTATTTTTAATATACATTTTTTTAAATGCAAGGTGTGTAAGTACCGGAATTTGACCAGGTATTTGCCCCTTGCCGTCCAATTTAGAACAGAGCTCATGCTAGGTGAGGGAGCAGCAGCTCACGGAACCAGTCAGTTGTGTGGCATTACTCGGAATGACAAGAGACCTGTCAATAGGAGGAGAGTGCAGAGTGACAGGGAGATAAGCTGATCAGCCTGCTGCTTCTCCTTTCTATGTCCAGTCTCAGGCTGGGGGAGGGAAAAGATCTGTGTTACCAAACTGCAGCAAAGGAAAATCAAGTGTCCTGCACAGCCAGACAAGGTTGTGTGGGAAGAATTACACATACTTTAGATGGGAAGAATTACAAATATTTTGGCATGTAAAACAGCTCCCATATAAAGTATGTATTTTAGCGGTGTATTTAGCTGTTTACTTGGAGTTCAGCTTTATATTTAGAAGTAGACTTTCAAGCAGTATACATTTTCGAAGTGCATCTCTCAGTCTGTTCTATGCACTGTTCTGCACATCATAATGGGTGTTAAAGAGAATGCTGTTGGTGTGAGTTGCAGGATATGGGGTTGTTATAACGTTTGGTATTATATCTAAATAAAGTATTCTCTGGTCTCCATCTACCACTTTATAATATCTAATACTTTTTAGATTCTATACGAGGGCTCTGAATGCAAGTACAGTGATACCTTGGTTTACGAGCATAATTCGTTCCGGAAGCATGCTTGTAATCCAAAGCGCTTGTATATCAAAGCGAATTAATAGAAACTCAGATGATTCGTTCCACAACCCAAAAATATTCATATAAAAATGATTACAATACTGTAATATAATACTGTACAAAATATAAAGAAAAATATACCAATTCCCGATACCTTCGTGGCCGGTGTGAGGGGGACAAGAGAGAGGAGCATTATTGTGTAGGACGACTTTCACTATCACTAACAGAATCACTGCTATCTCTTGACTCAATGGAATTTTGCTCTTATTGCAAGACATTGCTTGTATATCAAGGCAACATTTTTCAGAAATGTTTGCTTGTCTTGCAAAGCACTCTCAAACCAAGTTACTTGTAAACCAAGGTATTACTGTACTGTATGTGTCTGTACCTGCTACTGGGATGTGTAGAGATCATGCATGCTTAGAATGTAATCCCATGCTATGCAATGAATTCTCGTACGATCGCGGGATTTCCCGCGATTCTCGTACGAGAATCGTACAGTGTATGGGCACCTTTAGCCATCGTACAGTGTATGGGCACCTTTAGCCATATCATGCTATGCAATGATTGTCATGCGGTGATGATAAATAATTAGGAGTTGTAGTTCAGACTAGATGATTTGTAAACCCCCAAAGCATACATATATGATTCTCACCCTTCTCTAATCCACTTGTCATCGTAAAGATTTACGCAGCGGAGACACAACAATTTACTGTTATTAATAAAGAGAGCCGGCATTGTGTGTTTTAAGAATGAATGGTTACCATGTGTCAATACACTTGCTGTGGCTAGCAAAACACTAAGATGAAGCATTGTTGACTCTTGTTTTATATATATATTTATATCAATAAATATATATATTGTGGTATTGTGTGGCAATTGGCAATCCCACGGTAGAACTGGGGATTGTAGTCACCCAGGACTCTCTGCAAAGAAACTAATTATTTTGCTGGGAAAGAACTGGCTTTGGCTTTATGGATTTCTGGATTTGGCAAGGGGTCCTGGAACTGGGAGATTTCAAAGGGATTTGGGAGTGATGAAATCTCCATTCCTGGGTCCATGGTTTAGTAGGGGCCAGCACCTGATGATTGCACACCTGTGCACAACCCTTATGGAAAGGGTGCTGGCTAAAGGTGCCCATACACTGTACGATTCTCGTACGAGAATCGCGGGAAATCCCGCGATCGTACGAGAATCGTACAGTGTATGGAAGGCGTGCGACCGTTTCTACTGTACGGTCGCACGTCTTCCATCGAACAAGCAGGCTGGAAAACCCTGCTGGTTCGACAACTGACCAGTGGCCTGCTGGTTTGACAACTGACGAACGGGCTTAATGCTAATGCTCTGGGCTCCAGCTGGGAAGAGGAACAGAGGTGTTCCGGAGTCAGGAGGACTCCTCCCAGAAGTCAGAGGGGAGCCACGTGGCTGTGTGTGCTGGAGGCACAGGGAAGATAGCCGTGGAGACTAAAGGTGCCCACACACCTTACAATTTATCTGCAGATTTTCTGTGGCCAGATGGAAAAACAGATTGGCCCAGGTGGAGATTACTCCATCCACACATTTAAGTGTAGATGGAGGAATCTGTTGCACCTTTTCCATCTGACCACAAAAAATCTGCAGATAATTGTAAGGTGTGTGGGCAGCTTTAAGCTGGCCATACAACCTACAATTATCTGCAGATTTTCTATGGTCAGATGGAAAAGGTGCAACAGATTCCTCCATCTACACTTAACTGTGTGGATGGAGGAATCTCCCACTGGGCCTAGCTTCAGTGCTAGTCAGCCCGGCTTGCTCTCTAAATACCTGAACAATCTGATTGGATGCAGGCATTGTTCAGGTGTTTTGAGAGCCAGCGGGGCCAGCTAGCAAGATTACGGAAGCTTGGCCCAGCGGGAGATTTCTCCATCTACACAGTTAAGTGTAGATGGAGGAATCTGTTGCACCTAACGTCCAGGGACTGAGAGCATGAAGTATGTGCGACATTCTGGAGTCGGTGAGACTATGTGTCCTGTTTGGTGTAATACAAGTGGACCTTCTGTTATTGTTGAAAAAACTATGTTTCTGTTCTGGAAGCAATAAAAGGCTGTTTTGCTTTATGCTAACGTGGCTTCGAGACTGGTCTTTGAGCGCTCACCATTTGTGCTTAATTCCCCAAATATCACTATTGAGATATATATATATACTACGTGTGTGTGTATATATAGAGACAGGCATTTTTTTATATGAATTATAGTGGGTGATTAGGTGGGATGAAAGCGAAAGGGGGCAATGGTTTGTTTTCAAATGACTGGATCCTTTTTTTTCATTGGAATATAGATTTTAAAGTGAAACTTTTTTTTTTTTTGTTTACCATTGGCTGAAGCAAACCACAGTGTGATCACCCCCTTCAGTCATTACTGTTGTCCCAGATTACTATCCATAGATGCACCCTAAGTGAGTTGTCCTTGTGGATATATGGGGCATGGACTCCACAGGGGAGAACTAGGAAGTTTTTAATTCGAAGCAAAGCCCTACTTGTCACATTAGGACCGAAGGTGAAGGCGCATCTTAAAGTTACATACTTGCAGAAAACTTGCCTCAATCCAAACTCTTCAAAAAATATAGAAACAACAGTTTATTATTCCATTATGTTCATTCACAAGTTGAATTGCAGTGCACCAAAAATTGCATTTCAATGTGTTTTGGAATTGGCCTACAAGCATATATTTAGCAAAAAAAAAAAAATTCTTCTTATCAGTCTTTTACCTTTTGTTTATCCAGTGCCCACATATATCTTAAGATGTAATTCTTTATTAAACAAGCCATATAGATGTAGCCATCAGATCTCTTCTGACACATACCCGAATGGGCTATATAGAATGTTTAGTCATTTGTCAAAGAGCAAATCTTTGGACCCCTCCTACATTGTTTCCTGTCCCTTCTTCTCCCCGACTCTGGGCTGCTCAATGGAGGCTGGGTCTTTAGAAAACGCAGGGCTATGCTGTCACTTTCTGGCTGTTTTGATCTCTCCTAAATACCATAATTAATCCAATTGCAACAGGAAAAACAACAGCGAAAGAATGTTAAATCTGGTTCAATCCGCCCTCTAAGCTGACATCCGTAGTAAATAAGACACATTTGCATGTATTTATCATGTAACGTGGTATGAAAGAACTGCCAGCAGCGGAGCTTATGTCCTGCCATTTGGGGAAGTTCAAGTCCTTGAGCATACCAGTCATTTATCATTTTCTTCTGTTTCTTCCCAAATGTACTTGTTTTTGATTTATTGTGCCGTGTTGGAAAGAATTATTCCTACCAAACATTGCTGTCTGTGTAGTGTCTTCAATTTTAAATTTTTTCTTGCCGTGATTAAACCCACTTAGCTTTTTATGGTAGGATTTGTTTCTTCCCAACAAACCATTACCAGGATTTTGATATTTTATTAGTACTGATCTAAAAATTTGTATTTTGAACATTTGTTTGTACCGTTGATTTTTATTTTCTCACTTGTGATCCTGCTCAGTTAAAGGCCAGTGCTATGTACTTCTAGTAGTAGTTGTAAAGAAATACTCTATTTTTGATGTAATTACATTTTAAAGCCCCCTATATGTTTTGAGAAAACCTGTCAGGAGAGAGATACGTAGGCTGTCATTGACTACCTCTTTCTGAAAATGCTGGTTGCCTGGCTGTTTTGATTATTTTGACTTTAGGACTTTCCAAGTTACTAACACCGAATA